TTAGCACAGCCTGCTATTAATGCACTGCCAACTAGCTGTATAAAGAATAAACTCCACAGTTCAGACAATCTCTCCCTCTCTGTCAGGCTGCCATGGAACCAGATCCACACCTTCTTGAGGAATTTGGAATAGCTGAAATCACAGGAACAACAAATACCTTCGATAACCAAAAGCTTCAGGGGGTAGCTGAGTTAGTCTGTACAGGAAAAACTTAACCAACAAATAGTCTGGTAGCACTTTACAGAGTAAAAAAACATATAGCTCAGTGTTTCTTAAACTTTTTAAGACTGAGGAACACCACAATATTTTTTTTTATGAGGAAAACCAAGGATTTTTAGCTGAGAAAAAAAAAGTTGGTGTGGGGGGGAGAGGAAAGGTGGAGGGGGGGGAGTTACTGACGGAAAAAGGGCTGGGGAAAAGTAATTGGGGAAAAAAATGTCACCCGCCCCTTTAAGGGCAGTCATTTTGAATTCTGTTATTCTCTGTGGCACACCTCCCACTGCCTCGCGGCACACCGGTGTGCCTCGGAACACAGTTTAAGAAACACTGATATAGATGGTATAATGAGCTTTCATGGGCACAGCCCACTGTGTAGATTCTTGCATGTAGACCCTTCCTATCTAATTGCTATCCTATTATCCTTATCTGCTTCTTTTAACTATCCAATCTTTAGGTACTTATAGGTTACCAGTTCTGCCTGCTTGTTTTTCCCTTTGATATTTTCATACCCTCTGCTCCTTGTTTCCTGCCCCCTTCTTTTTTTCCTTCCCCCCTTTCCCTTCTCCCCTATTTATTTTGGGTCTGCAAATCCTAAACTCAAAACTCCGGTCATCTGAAGAAGTGGGCTGTGCCCACGAAAGCTCATGACACCATCTACATGTTTTGTTAGTCTATAAAGTGCTACCAGACTATTTGTTGTTTGATAACCAAGTACAACTTGATACAGAGACTTTCTGTGGACCACGGATGCCCCTGGTGGACAACACATTTTAAGGTGCCTGAACAGCGAAGGATCAGCAGTGGAACACAATGAATGGATAGTCTGGTCTCTAAATGTCAAACAGCTCATTGGGAGTTAGTAGCTAGAGTGAGAAATCTCTGGTGACACCCACACCCAAACCACACCTTCCCACAAGCCCTGCTGGGGGCAGGGTTGGCTGCTTGGCCAGCTCCCAGAAATGCTGTCCATTACTGCCCATCAGACAGACAGCTTATCAGAAATCACCCTCCCACCCTATCAGTCCTGAATCTGTCCACACCTCACTACAAATATCTCAACCAGGGGCAAATCAAGCCTGGAGGCAGCCCCAGGCTCCTGCCCTTCTCCTGCAGGCTGTTTGGAAAGGAACAGGATATCTGAGCAGCACCCAGCGATCACAGCAAATCCAAAGTGTTATGGAGGCACAGGAAAGCTGTTCCTGGGACTGTCTCTTTCTGGCCCAAGAGACTGTGGCAGAGAGAGAGATGCTGGTCCAATAGATGAGCTGTGACTCCAATGGTCTGGAAAACTCAGCAGGCCTCCCCGCTGCTCCTAGTCGCAATCTGTCAGCACTGCAGGTGCAAACGGCTCGCCAGGTCCCTTTGCACACAGTGTGCCTCTCTTGCAAGTTTTCTGGTGCGGCAGCTTAAAGCTGAAGCCCTTTCTCTTGAGAGGATCAGACTGAAGCTGATGTAATGTTTCATGATGGTTCATGTACACAACAATACTATGCACTTCTCATAGAGAAGTGCAAGTGTGGCTGCCTTGCTGACAGCAAAGGACAGCATGTTTCAAGGAAACTGCCAAGGTGGTGCTTTCCCCTTAAGCAAAAATTAAATCAAAGAGCAGCATTACGCCCATGGTGAAATATTATTCCATTCCGCTTTTCAGATTCCCAGAGCCAGGCCCTTAATAGCATCACGGCTGCTAAACAAAGACAGTTGTTCAAATAATTATGAGCCCTGCATAAAGGAGCTAACCTCTTTAGTCTTGAAGTGTCTGTGATGTATAATCTCAGACTTTTGTTTTCAATACTTTCACTGAAAAGCTGCAAAACAGAATAGTTCTATAGTCTGGCTAGGAAACCTGCAGCTGGCTTCCCAGCTTGGCTCACTTTGACAGTGCAGCACTGCCCCCTAATCAGTACAGCTATCTCAGGCTTTCATATAGAATTAAGACCTGTAGGAAAAAGAAACATGGGGGAGGGGGATTCTGCCGTTCACAGGCTCCCTGCTTCTCTTAGGGAAGGGGTGTCACTACATGGAGTAACAAAAATGCAGCAATCAAATCCCTCCCACAAGAGAATCCAGGAATTCAGATGAGAGAACAGTGCACCTCACTCAGCAGCAACCCTGGAGTCTGTGTGATCTGTCCCTCGCAGCGACTGCTCCCACTCACTGCAGATTGGTCGGGCCCTTTAACAGCACGTGGATGTAGCAATGAGGCCACTTGGCGAGGTTCTACTTGTCATCCGTGTCCTGTTCAGCTCCTGCTCTCCTGCAGCTCTCCCTGAACTGTACACTCACGGTCAGCCTGAGCATGTCCAGAAACCCCACACCTCACCTGACTGACAGCAGCATCCTGTCTGATCTCCAGCCTGTGCCCGCAGCCTCCCCCTCACCTCACCACAAGCCTCCCCTGCCTGTGCCCAGGCTAGCACTTTCCTACTGGCTATGCCAGGCTCTTGTTGTAACACAAAATCGCAGGATGGTGGAGAACAGAGAGGTGGGTGAGGCTTTCAGACCTTTCTATGTCCAGAACCCTAAGGAAACCGGGGCTGGCAGCACATAGGAGATTGCAGGCTCTGGGGAACAGGATGGGGATTCACTGACACTGTCTGTACAGCAGCAGTAAAAGGAAGGGAGAGCTACATGGTGGGGTTATAACTTGTAGGGCTTTGCAACAGGCACGGAGCGTAAATCCAGACAAGCTAGCAGGGCCCACAAGAACCCTCTGGCAGAGTGCAGCCTACAGCTCTGGTCTCCTTTCTTGGAAGGACAGAGCTCAGACTGAGAGGGCATGGTGAGGACCATTGGGTTTGGGCTGGGGTTAGGGAAAAGGAACCGGCTTTGGCCTCTCTCAGCCTCAACAAAGGGAATTCTGGCGCAGGAGGTGCATCTGAAAGGAGAGTTGCAGGAAGGCTGGGGGAGCCACTATAGAAGTTAGTCCTGGGACGTACAAGGTCAGTGGGCTGAGGGGTAGGAGCTAAGAGCAGTGACTGGCTAGGTGTCAGCACTTCCATGGCATGGTGCAAACAGCAGCATCCACCTGCACAGCCCAGGAGACGGGGAAGTGATCATCCACGCAATGCTGATTATTGGTTATGTTTGAGACAGCACCTAGCCTGTCCCTCGAGATGAATGAAGTAGAAATGCAGAGCAAGGCATGGACCCTGCCTCCAGAGCTTACAGGCCAAATATATAGCACGCAGGTGGGGCACAGCAAAAATCCTGCACATGTGCAAAGAGGTCAGGAAATGACTAGAAAAAAAGCTTCTTATGTCAACCTTATTGTAACCCCTTTGTGCTGGCCTGCTTGCCGTAGACTCCATGTTTAACCTTGAGTGTCAATTCTCTCCTATACTAATTCAAGCCCTTTCAGTGTTCGAAAACGGGCAGAATCCATTGCCCCAGAGAGGGGAAGAGACTTTCACATGGTCATGCAGCAAGTCACTGGAAGAGCTGGGATGAGAATCTGGGCCCCTGACCCCTCGCCCAGAGCCACTATCCCCAGTGGCATCAGAGGTCTGGTTAGCCTGGGAGCATTCACTTCCATGCCAGCAGCGTGATGCCTTGTGACAGTCACTCTGCTGCATATGGCAACCGCAGCACCAGGTGGCACCTTTCCAGTTCTCTGCATGTGTTTAACTGATGCATGGAACATGCGCCATACATACAGCATGCAACAAACCCCTCTGCATGAGACACTCCACGCATCCCAGATACCCTGCCATGGAGCACCCTGGCTCTGAACACATGCAGCAGAAACTGACAGGCTCAGAGTTGGGTAGCACAAACCTTAAAAGCTCTGGAGAGGGTGTCTGGTAAAAGAACAATATGGGGAGCACTGAGGAATCTAAGACGATAGCAGTGGCCAGCCCCTCTCTTGCCTCTTCACAGAGAAGCTCTGCCCAGGACGGTTAGCACTCAGAGGATGCCACATTTATCGGCTCCCTTAGACAGGAGGCGTGGGGGCTCTGCTGGGATCTCACAGTCAAACAGGCCTGAGCTCTTAATGTGAGAGCCAGGCTGGAACCAACCTGCAGCAGCTCCAGTGTGTGGATCACTCGGTAACCAATTGCCCTTCTTTTCCAGGACGCATCTCTGGCCTAGCCCCTCTCTTGGTGGGGCAAAACATATGGTTTATGCTGTGGTGCACTCAGGGACAGGCCATACCCATACCCAAGACCTCCTGGAACAGACAATCCTCCAGGGAAACCTGCAAGCCCAAACTCTGACTCTCAGTGTTTCTGACAGCGCCCCAGCTTGGGGGAGTGAATGCCTGAATGCAGCTGTGCAAGCAGCCCCAGGCAGTGCAAAGCTCCGACAGGATGCTGGGCAGAGAGCTCTCTTCCTGATGGATGCTCCAAGTGGGCAGGATTCACGTTCTGTCTGGGAACATGTCACCAGAGGAGGCAACAGTGAATGGACCTGGCTGGAGAGTCTGGGACATGGAGGCACTCTTCACCCTAAGCATGGGCAGCACTGGCATCACCAGCGCCAGCTTCCCCACCACTGGGGCACTCCCCAGACAGAGTGCTCTTGGCCTCTCTGTTGTGGTTGTCTTGTGGCAGTGCTGGGCTTGGTGACATGTCTCCCAACTGGGCTGAGACCCAGCAAACTCATTCCCTGTAGGGCCCACCCCTGCAGGCACTGCTCCCTGACAGGATTCAGTCCTGCAAACTCCATATGACCCTCCCCTGAGTGAGGCAGGCGCCCAGCTGGGCCAGGCCAGAACCAGGCACCCAAAGGTGAATGGTTCGGTGCTTCGTTCCCAAGCCCTGTGCTATCCAGCCACTTACCCCTTCCATGGGACCAATCAGCAGGTCATAGAGCGCGCGTAGTGGGGCTTTGGCCAACATGCTTTGCCTCCTGGGAAGAGAGGCTGCTCCAGCCTGCACAGGGCACATGGTGCTGCTGGCCAGGCTGCTCATGCTCTGACAGCACCTGTGGACAGACAAGAGGGAGAGGTTAACTGCAGTCTCCTGGAGCTCTGTGCCCTGGCATCCCCATGGACAGGCTGGGGCTCCCGGAGCAGCTTCCCCCCACTCCAGTCTCACAGCACAGAGAACAATGAGAGAAACTGCAGGGTGAAGCAGCTGCAGACAACAGCTTACATTTCTTTGAAGACTCCAGTGTCCCAACATGCTGTGCAAAGTGTTTAATGACATACTTGTGTGGAGCGATTGTGTGCAGAGAACATAAGACCCATTACAACTCGCCTGCAGCCGCAGGAAGATTTACACTGGCGCTAGCTAGGCACCAATTAATCTGGGATGGCATCAAAAGGCAAATGCGACAAAGGGAGGGCCGGGCAGACTCCTGTGCTTGCTGCCCTACACAGCGTGGCCCTATATAGAGGAAACCTCCCCAAGGGAGCACCGCTGGGAGCCAGCAAGCTGCTGACTTGGCGCTGCAATTAGACCCAGCAGCATCCCTCCACTGAGAACAGATGAACATCTCCCAAAGCCCAGGCAGGCAGCACAGCCCAGGGGGAGACCCACAACCCTCACACTTCTTGTGTTGTCCAGGGCTCAGCACAGCTTCGTAGGGGAGGGGGCATTTCTCCACCAGGCCCAGCAAAAGCACAGGAATTTGTCCTGAAACAGCGGCAGGGTCCAGGGGGCCAGCAGGGAGGAACAGGAGGGAGCAGACACCAGACATGGACCTCCCAGGGGTCAGTGAATGGACTTCTCAGGCCTGTTCTACTTTTCAGAGGGGAGTTAAGGGCTCGGCTTCCCCACCCCAGTGCTCATGCTCCAGCCTGACATACTACAGCAGTGTTTCTTAAACTTTTTAAGACTGAGGAATACCAAGGATTTTTTGTTGAGGGGAAAAAAAACCAGACTCGTGAGGCAGCCATCTTGAACTCTGTTGTTCTCCACGGCACACCTCCAACTGCCTCGGAACACAGTTTAAGAAACACTTCACTACTGCTTCCTCCTACAGCAGTGCAGGACAAAATGCAGCTGACCCCTCAATCCCTGGCCCTGGAGGTGTGTTCCCTGGCTGCTATTCCATCTTTGCCACCTCATTCCAATTCTCCGCTGCTGCCCCCAACCATTAACCAGACATTTACAGCTGCTCCCTCTGCACCAGCTCACCCAGCCCTGAGGTTGGTTGCAAAGGTCCAGAGCTGATCACTGCTCCTGCCCCAAAGCTGGCACCCAAAGCTGCCCCATAGTGCCCCTTCTCTCCAGACAGGCAGCAGGAGCCAGTCACTGCTGGCCCTATTCTCAGTCACATTTCTCAGCATGCAGTGACCTCTGGAAGCTGGGAGCCTGACATGACCACTCTGACTGGCACTCAGCTGCCTCAGCTCCCCTTTCACTGCAGAAGGAAGCGGAATAAGGGAATTGCCTGTGCTCCTGATGGGCAGCAGCTGCTCCGGGTGCAAGACATGGACGGAGCTCAAGAGGGGACAGGCGCTCTGCCTGAGCCTTCCCACCACCTAACAAAGAGCACAAACGATCTTTGGAACCACTGGGTTTGGCCAGGCCAGGCGGAGTCCCAGGAAGGCTCTCTTTCCCGGCCACAAGTGTGTGGCTCTCTTTCCCAGGCACAGCCCAGAGCCATAGTACTCACGGTTTGGCCAGCAGCACAAGCGATACCTACCCAGTAGCCATCACTGAGGGCCAAGGATGAACCATCCCCTTGCTGGGGTTGTGAGTGACCCTACCCAGCATGGTGAGAGGGAACCCAGCAAGATACTCACTCTCCTCCTGCTGGCCTTCCCACACTGCTCATGCTGAGACCACAGGGCTGGACGTCTCCATGTGCCCCATGACCTCTCTGACAAACACTCCCCCGTGCTGCACAGGCATAGGGTCCGTCCCCCAAACACCCCCACCCTGCACCTGTCCTCCCGCCCCATGCTGTTTGGGCACAGGGCACCTCTCTTGAAGCCCAGTCCACCCAGCCACCCCAAGGGTAGGCAGCATGTCTGCCAAACAAGCCCACATACACCATCTCCTGGGCATTCAGAGCTGCTCCCTCGGCACTAGCTGGCCTACGGACAGGCACACAGCAACTCCATCGGACGCATCCCGCATGCTCCCCCAGGGTATGTAACACCTATGCCTCAAAACACCCTCCTTGACCCCTGCCAGACACCAGCCCACTGTGTGATGCCAGCATGTTCCCACGGGCCATCGGTGCCCCATTCTCACAGCCATGGAACAACTGTACTGTCCCCAACCGTTTCCCCAGCACTCTGAGGCTGCTGTGGTCACCCAGGGGCTAGGCAGAACTGTAACAACCGCTTAACCATGACTGTGGAGTCACCATCAGTGCTGCTGAACAGCAAAAGACAACAAGTCCCAACACACAAACCAGCTTCCTAGGAAGGAAGCAAATGTCCACACAGCACCATGGGCCCATGCCTGGCTGTACAGAGCTGCTGCAGTCACCATCCAGCTCATCTTCTGGCCAGCTGCTAAGATCACAGAATCCCAGAGCTCAGAGACCTCAGGAGTCATCAAGACCTGCCTCCTACCCAAGACAGGACCAACCCCAACTAAATCAACCCAGCCAGGGCTTTGTCAAGCCAGGACTTATACACCACTAGGGATGGAGATTCCACCACCATCCTAGGGAACCCAGCCCAGTGCTTCACTGCCCTCCCAGGGAAATAGTTTTTCCTAATATCCAACCTAGACCTTTCCCACTATAACTTGAGCCCATTGCTCCTTGTTCTGCCACCTGTCACTACTGAGAACAGCCTCTCTCCATCCTCTTTGGAACCTCCCTTCAGGAAGTTGAAAGCTGCTATCAAATCCCCCCTCACTCTTCTCTCCTGCAGACTAAATAAGCCCAAATCCTTCAGCCTCTCCTTGCAGGTTATGTGCTCCAGCCCCCTCATCAATTTGGTCACCCTCCACTGGACCCTCTCCAATGTGTCCACATCCTTTCTATAGTGGGGGGCCCAGAACTGGACACAATACTCCAGATGTGGGCTCACCAATGCCAAATAAAGGGGAATAATCACTTCTCTAGATCTGCTGGCAATGCTCCTCCTAATGCACCCTAATATGCCATTAGCCTTCTTGGCTACAAGGGCACAATGTTGACTCATCTCCAGCTTCTCATCCACTGGAATCCCCAGGTCCTTTTCTATTGCTTAGCCATTCAGTACCCAGCCTGTAGCAATGCTTGGGATTCTTCTGTCCCAAGTGCAGGATTCGGCACTTGTCCTTGTTGAACCTCATCAGATTTCTGTTGGCCCAATCCTCTAATCTGTCCAGGTCACTCTGGACCCTATCCCTGCCTGCAAATGTATCTTCCTCTCCCCCTAGCTTAGTGTCTTTTGCAAACTTGCTGAGGGTGCAATCCATCCCCTCATCCAGGTCATTAATAAAGGTGTTGAACAAAACTGATCCCAGTATCGACCGCCAGCCAGACATCGAGCCGTTGTTCACTACTTGGTGGGCCTGAAAATTTAGCCAGCTTTCTATCCACTTTATAGTCCATTTATCCAATCCATACTTCCTTAACTTGCTGGCCAGTATACTGTGGGAGATAGCATCAAAAGCCTTGCTAAAGTCAAGGTATATCACATCCTTCCCCATGTCCATAGAACCAGTTACCTTGGAGGCAATCAGGTTGGTCAGGCACGACTTGCCCTTGGGGAATCCATGCCGACTGTTCCTGATCACTTTCCTCTCTTCCAAGTGCTTCAAAATGGATTCCTTCCCCCCCTTCACTTCACCTCTCTGATTGCTCTGGGCCCACTTCTCAGCCACCTCATCCAGACTACCAGGTCTTGGGCTCTTGTCTAGCTTCAACAGGAAACTTGTTTCTGGGCACTAAGCTTAAAATAACACTACGCTACACACTGGGACTGCAAAGTCTTTATTCAAGTTTCTTTTGGAACACAGAAACTGAAGAGTTTGTCACCGTCTCTTCACAGGGCTGCCTAATGCTGAGCGTTCCCATTTCTCTGTGCAGGTCACACATCCAAGGAATGACAGTGACAAAAGCCAGAACTGGGAAGTATTCATACCCAGAACATCAAAACCTAAGTAAGTCCCTACTGCACAGGCCAATCAACCCAATAACACACATTACTGCCACCTCTGTGCCTAGCAACATTTTTCTTAGTCGCTAATATGCCCTGCCAAGAATGAAATTTGTGTAACTGGTATGTTTTCTCACGTACACGCTAGGCTAGTGTGTCGGTAAAGCACAGAATCAACACATTACACTCCTCCTGCCCCTGAGAAATTCCTCAACTCATGGGCTCTGACTAACAAAGGTGGACTGCCCCCGGGGACCCTGGAAAAATGTCTCCCTGCTGCAGCACAGGACTGGATTTGCTCTCACTCCTTAGGACCAAAGTTCCCTGTAAGCTGCATGGCTATTTTCTGAGCCCCGCTCACAGGTTCAGAACTCCCGTGCAGGCAGGGAGCTCAGCTGACCGGCAGGGGGAGGGCTGTCCCACTAAGCAGCAGCTTCAAATGGGAGTTCAAGAGCAGGTAAGGAGAGAAGATAAAGAGGGAATAAATGGCTGGAGGAGGGAAGGAGAGAGTAAATGACTGGGGAGGAATGACAGTCAGAGGGGAAGGTAGTTTGGAGAGTTCTGTCTGTACAAAGAGAGGCAGAGGCAGAGACTGAAACCCAGCACTTTACTCAATCCTCCTGGGAAGGGGCTGACTACATGGGGTAAGTGGGGGACAGAGGGATGGGTGGGTGCTGGCACTGGGGTGAGGTGGAGGTAGGGGAAGTTTGTGTTGTGTCCTGGGGTGAGGTGGAGTAGGAGTGACAAGTTTGTTTCTGCTGTGTGTTCTGTGGGCTAATTGTGCCTGAAAGTTTGAGAAGCAGAATTTTATCCCAGCCCCAGCTGGGAGT